TCATCGGGACAGACGTTGCAATGGACATTGTATCGAGATCTCGACCGCGAGGTGTGCTCGATCTATTACCGCTTACCTTTCCTCCACCGATAAACCATCGAACTGCATTAACAGCTTTTTTTCTCCCTTCTCCTATCCTCACCCACCTCGTCCCTTTTCACCGTGCGAAATTGAATTCTCGATCGGTGAATCGAATTACGAACAATACCCGAAGCATTATTCTTCGAATTCTGTCTGTCTCGCTACTTAAAAGCTTCGTCGAGCGAACGAATTCTCTTTATAAAGTCAATACACGATCGTTTTTCAACCGTTCGTTAATGAACTTCCATCATTCTTTCGATTTTCGCGTTCAATACCCTTTCTCATTTTATTGAACTGATTGATTGCTATGTAGGGCACCGATGATTGGTATTGTAAATTTCATTTCTATCGTGTGATTAATAAATGTTCATTAATGACAAGAAATTGCATCGGTAATTCGATTTAGTAAATGGAAGCATTAGAAAAGTGATCGTTCGTATGTCTGACCAGGCGTGGTTTATTCTACTGTATTAATAACCATGCCATATATCATTGAAAAACAAATTCTCTTTAAACCCTCCACTTTTTTCGTGTCATCGTCAAATTTGAATACAGCCAAAAATTGTATAAACAACTCGAAACGTTATAATAGAAAAATTAATGACGTTAGAAAAGTGATTCTCGTCGTGTCTGACTAGTCACGGTTGTATCTACTGCACCAGCGAGGGCGTCGAAAAAAGGATTCTTATTTTCTCCGCACACGATACCCCAATTTTTTTCCTCATCCATCCTTTTAATCTTTACGATGCTACCCGTCATCGGCGTCGACCCCTCGAATCGAATGGCGAACGGCGAAGAACCGTTCGTCCTTCTTCTTTCTCTCTCATCGACGGGTTCGAACGAACGAAGAAACGACGCGCATCCAACGTTCCCAATAATCGACCACCGTGTACCGAATAATGAACGTTTCATCGAGGTCACGATCTCGTATGTTCGGGTCGTGGCGACATTAGAGGCAGCGCAGCGTCGGCATTTCGCCCGTTCTTGGACGTGTTCCTTTCCTTCCCCCCCCCCCCCCCCCCCCCCATTCCTTCCATTCGTTTTACCTACGTTTCTAATCGGCCAAATAAAAGCGTAAAGAAATGGTCCCGTACGGAAAGAGGCGTTTCTCGATTGGATCCGCGGGGATCGATCGTTGCCCGTCGACGATGCCGAACATTCCCGCGTGCGACTGCGAATTATAGGCATGGGTCGTGCGCGGCTCGACTGACCGAGTTTGCGTTGGTGTTGGAGGTCCCATTGATTTCCTGGCCCATGTCAAGGCTGCACGCGAGGAACCCCCGTTTCGCCGCCGACCACCCACAACCTCCGACAACCCCCTTCGACCTCCTGCGACCCCCCTCGTCGACCACCTCTTTCTCTTCAACTATACATACACACACGTACCAGTACACAAACACTCTCCGTTACCAGCAGCCAGTGCAACGTTTCGCTTCATGCCGACTCTTTCTCTCTCTCCGTCGCTTCCTTCCACTTCTTTCCTCTTCCACGACCCCGTGCTCTTCCCACTATTCGCCAGGGACGAATGCACCGCGTGCACTCGTTCTGTCTACCCGCGAACGTACTTATCTGACCCACGTCGTCGTTTCGACGCGATTTTTGTCCTTCGTATATCGTTCCTTTGAAGAGAGATCCCTGGGTTACGATTTCAAGATTGAAAGTTGATATTCTGATCATTCCGAGGAGTTTCTCTGTTCTAGGTTATTATGTTAATTAGGTTTCATTAACCCTTTACATTGATCTATGATATTGTTTAGTTTACTGTATAAAACTTGAATAACTATCTTTACTGTAATTGGGAAAGCATACATTTTTATTGATTATTTTATAATTACTGTAAGTTCTATGGAAAGTCATTTCAATGAGATGTTTTTCGTGGCTTCTCAAAGTTCTTTGAACATGGAATTAAGGGTTTCCCTTTAGGTTCTCCCGTGTAAGTGTGCTCGTTCTTTCAAGGGTGATCGTGATGGAGTGGCCTCTCTTGATTAATCGATTCGTCACAGGTTACTTCTTCTTGACATTCAAGATTTTACATAGTTATTATTGCTGTCGTGAAAATACATAAAAGTAAATAAATAAGAAAATATAAATGTCTACGTGTAAATTATTATCAAGGATAAAATCAAATTCAGCGTGTTTCCAAATTAATTAGCAAACGTTCATTACCATACTGGACGTAAACGAATGATCCGAGGGTGACTGATTATTCGGTGAATTTTTCGTTATCCCGTATTATAACTAGCCCGCAATTGCCAACAAATAATTCAAAGGTACTTCGAAAACACGACACGGTCGCGAGTTCGCCTGCCAAGAGGTGTAACGACCGCATATTAATCGCGAGGCTCACCGCGACCCATGAATTTACGAGGAAGCTCGAGGACCACCAATGAAAATCCAGAAACGAAGGGGAAAATTTCCGAATCGCGTGACCGCTCGACCTTTTCTCCTCGATTGTTGCCACTTAACTCGATCGTTAATGCGACCCTCGCTGTTTGCTCGGTTATTTTGTTTCTTATTTTCGAAGATTTATCCCGCCGGGATTGATCGCGTTTTGATTCAGCAACGTATGGAGAAAAGAAAAAAAAAAAAAAACTGGAAACAGTGCGTGCGTTGAAAATAGCTGAGTGGTGATAACGAGTGTGTACAATGTGGGAGGGTTCTTAAGGGAGATCGGTGCACGATGGGCGGAGGTTTTAGAGAGAATAACGAGAGAGGCGGAAGTTTTAGAAGCGAAGAGGGAGTGCTTGAAGAGATTAGAGCGTGGGAGTTCTTGTTGTTATCCCATTGGGAGAATCCGTTGTGTTTGCTGTTACTTTATCGTCAGAGTTTTACAGTTAGCGTATGTTAGATTGAATTTCGTTACGGTACGCGTATAGACTTAATTATCCAAAACAATTATTTTGTAATTAAAGATAGTACCAGTTCAGAATTTTAAAATTATTTTCTCATTTATTTTCCATCTTTTATTTATCGTACATCCAATCCAAATTATTCTAATATTAAATAATTTCTATTTCCAAGGATTATAAATATCAGTAAGACATTAGAATCTATTTTATTATAAAATATTAGATATTTATAATTAATAAATAGCCACGAATGACAGAAGTATCAACCGAAAGCGATTAAAGTATAATAAGGTACGGATAAGGCGATCGTGTTGGAAGGAAAGCGCGATAATCTTGTCGGAAACGAAGGCGAAACCTCATTAAGGGTGGAAACGATTGAATAATTAAGTAAAGATGGCAAGACGTTTAGCTGGAATCGACCGGTAGCCACGGACGGAATGATTCAGCATCGATCTGTAGCAATGATTTCACGGAGATCCTTGTCCCGTGGAATATGTAATTTGCGGCGGCAGTGGTATAGCTCGACGCGTAGTCAGACCTAGTCCCGATTCGATTGAACCGCAACGCCGGATATTGCAGTCACTGAAGAATATTTGATTTCCACGTATCTAGGGAGGTTCGTTCATCGATCCTGATCCTGATTCCCCATCTTCTCTCCCACGCGTGTTTAATGACACAGATAGAACCAGAATAGTTTGCAATAAAATCAAATAAAATCATTCGGTTTGCAATGTGAAAAATATGTTTTCATTCGATATTTTCGCATAGATTCGATGAAAATATTCATCCTATGTTATCGAATACTATTCTGTGTTATCAGAAGCGATAAAATAGAAAACAGGAGGGAGACAACCCTCCAGGCACTTTTGAATAAAATCAAAATTGTTATTTTATCATTTTTTTTATATCGTATCGATAACTTTCTATCAAAAAAAATATTATTGCCAGTATTTGAAAAGCCTCTTCTGTAAATAACAATTTTTTATGTTCATAAAAATGATATTAAATTTTCTGAACGGTTCTGTATGAAACAATTGAAAGTCTTGATCAATACGATCTTAATTTCAAATACCTTGCATTTTTATCCTGTAATCCTCGGAAGAATTTCGTAGACGAGTTTTTTAAATAAAACGTCCAAGTAGGACTTAAGCTTGGGTTATCGTTTGAAAAGGCAATGATAATTAAAAACGGAATCGCCGGTGAATCAGCAAATTGCAACGGCGAAAGCGTGTCACCAGTAGGCACGCATTGTCCGAATGTTTTTTTTTCGCCGTTGTTTCAAAAGCCATAATTAACGGGGGCCTCTAAATAAATGAAGTCGGAGGGTTAATAACGTGCATTGTAAAACGGTGCATTCAGCATCCGAGCCTTTTCACCGTTCTGCACTCGTGTCGTTTGGTCGCTTCTAATTAATTCTTCAAACGGTTCTTGCACATTATGAAGGTCGCGGTGATATTTGCAAGCGTTCTCTCATTGTTTCTCTCCTTTCGTCGTCCGTTTCTTTCGCCGAAAAGTATCGTCGTTCCGGCGAACAGTCGAACAGCAAGTATCCTCGCGTTGTAGCCGGAAGTCATTAGAGTAGAATTGTGCACAGTTTCATCAATCATCTGGTAAGCGCGCATTAATAATCGTTTGCCATTAAATATGCATCTCGTCGTTTGTCGACCGTGTCGTTTCTTTCCTCTTTTGATGATTCCATTTTACATATTTTTTTTTCCTTTCTGTCGCTTAGAATGATTTCTCGATCCATTGTTGTGCTACAATATTTTCACAGCAAATTAATGCGAGGAGAATTGTTTCTCTTTATATATTTTTTTTTAAATGAGATGAACTATATAGTGATTGGCATTTTAATTATTTAATTAGAATCTTTCTAATTTTGTAGCTTTTATTATTAATAAATGAATTTGAATCACAGATTTTCAAAAAATTACAATTCTAAATTGTAATACACACTGTTAAAGAGGTTGTAAATATTTGCAACTAATTCATAAAGAGTGTAAATGCCAAGGCTCGTTTTCTTACAAACCGTTTTTCGTTCGTTCACAGAAACATTCTACTTTGTTCCAGGGAGCTCTTTGTTTTCACCCTTCAAAACAAACTGGAGGCTACACACCATAACAGTTTCCATTCCATACTAATTGCTGCGCGACGGAAAGCTGTTCTTCACGCGTAAGTTTCATTTTTTTTTATTTTCCCCCTCGCTTTTTCTTAAATTGGGTCGTCGAGAACGTCGACCTTTCGCATTCAATACGCGTCACGCGAACGCCACGCTCTCGTTTTCCGGTTTTTCCATTCCGCGTTTACATGCGCTCTTCATTCGCGTTTTCAACTGTCCCCGAATAGCCGATTACTCGTTAATCGTCCACGTCAATTAACTCGGCGCGATTTAAACAGCAGTCGAGAGAGAGAGAGCCGATTTTCAATGTTTTAAAACGCACCACCCGAACGTGTTATCCCGCGTGAATTATCAAATTCACGCGTGGAACTCGGTCGATCCATGGTATCGCGATGTCGCAATCGAATCCTGTCCATTAGTGTCATCGATAATTAACAACAGTTCACTGATTTACGGTCATCGCGACTGTATACGCTCGAAATTACGCTTGTTTTATTACTTACGAAATCGTTTTTATTCTTCCACTGAATTTTCCTAGGGCAAATGACGATATAGGAGAAGCAGGAATTCACAAAATCTTAATTTTGACGGTATTAATATTAAAAGTAATTTAGAAAAGAAATAATATAATTTTTACTTGTTATATATTATAAAATTTAATGTGCTATTGGAAAGTACGAATAACTAAAATATTGATTTAAATTTTCCCGCGTAAATCCCACAGATCTATACGTACGGGGCCTCCTCCCCTGCATCGTTATTCACTTCGGCAACGCCTAAGGGGAAGGGTGGGAGCCCGAGACTTTACCATTTTCCCCGGGGAATCCTGATTTGATCGCAAGCGTACATAAATAACATCGATGGAAAATCGTGTGGAATAATTTCCACGTGGCAAGAATTATATCCGGTAGATTTTGAAAGGGTAACTGTATACTTTTTGTTCGTTCGTAGCGAAGCAAAGACGCTTTGTAAGTTTTGAATCTTTTTCTTTTTAAATCGTCGACCAGTAAGCTGGTTGCTTGCGAGACCGAAGTTACCGCGCGTAATTGTTCGTACTCGTAGCCGTGGATAATTATTTGTGCTTCTAATTACGCCAGAGAGTTCTGCAGTGAAGCTCGATGTGGGCAAACAGAAGTTCAAAGAGCGTGAATATGAACTCAAAGCATCAAGCTCTTCCGGGCCGTTTGGTAACTTGGTAATCATTGATGGATTATGGAAGTTGCTTTTATTACTGCATCCAATTCTGTCCGTTCATTCATAATGCATTCGTGTAATTTTGAGATAACGAACTTTTATCTCCAATTTATGGTTTTCTCTATTGAATTTTTCATTATAAACACAATTCAATCAGAAATTTTGCATTGAAAAAGTTTTAACGGGTGTCTAAAAAACAACGTTCAAGGAGGAAATCTTTTTGATCTCCTAAACATGATATTTCAAGCTAAATTGAAAATAATACAAGAAAAATAGCATCTGAGCGAGGTAGAAAGGTTGTGGTTGTTTCTTTCAAAATCATCACAGAAAGAAAAGCTTTCAAGTAGAGAAAAACAAACAGTGATCCTCCGAATAAGAATTGACTGTTTTAAAATAACATCTATATTTGTTGACGAAAATACAGACAAAGTTTATGGAGAACTGTACCAGGAGAGTCGCTATCGATCACCTTCTAATGAATTGTTTAAAATGCTAAACGTCCGACGAATGTTTCGATTCAGAAGCTTAAAGGGCAACTTTGATTGTTTCATAAATTGCTGTCCTTTCATAAACTTTGTATAATAAATCATAAGAAAGGTATTATTGTCAAAGGATACTTTCATTACCATAAGGAATTTAATATAATCGAATAACTAAGGGAAACAAATGAAAGAGAATTTTCAGTATTATGTTAGTTAGGGAAGGTAGCAAGTGGAGAGCTTAATTTAAACGTAAAACGATCGTATCCTGAATAATTTCAATTATATCGTTCCGTGTTACACACGGTCGTTTTCACTGCGCCCGTCAACGTGTTAATAATCAAGTAATTAATGTGACGTTATACAATAATTAACACTATGACGGACACAGGTGAAACAGCGTCTGCTGTGACAAACAATGATACGAGTTATTAAGAATACCAAGTGTTCATTTTTCAATCTAACATTTCAATTCGTGATTTTCAATCCTTATTATAATCTCAGTCTCTAACTTTTTAAAACTATTTCTTATTAAATAAAATTCGTACTAACTATCGTGTTAAAAAAAAAGAACAAGAATTATTGAGAATGTTAATTCAAGTCACTTTTATCGAACAGTATTTCTTTCTTTAATTTTAAAAATTTTTCACTAAATAGAAAGTTTAATTATCATCGCGTTAAGTAGAAAAGCATTGAATAGACGGTTGAACGTATGTAATACAAGAAGACATCCTCAGAGCTCGTCGCGTTAGATTATGAAAAGGAATTCGAAAAATGAAAACGAACGAAGGAAAACAGTCTGTCGCATTGAATCGAGAAACTAGGAGGCAATTTCTCAAGTAGTATCCTCGGCAAAGTATCGCGAAGTTGTAGCTGGTAGCCGCGAAATTGGGATTTCTTTTTCGCGAATCACGCTCTTCAAGCGTCATTCACATTGTGTCTGCCGAAAAAAGAAAAGAGGATGGAAAGAGGAGGAGAAGAGGAAGAAAAAGCGCCAAGGTAGCGGTGTAACCGTACAGAAGAACCGGGAGAAGAGGAAAAGAGAGACGAAATCAGTTTCGTTGGATCGTCGTCGCGAAGTGCGCGCGTTTTACGCTTCCGAGGAAAGTGGGTCAGAGCGAGCCGAATGACTTGGCACGTTTTCTCTCGTTTCCGTGCTAGACGACGATTCTCTCCGCTTTCACGGCAAAAACACGGCTATTCGAGACCGCACGAGTATCCGTCGCGTTTTCAATTCCTGTTAGTCCTGTGCCACGCGCCCTTCCGCTTGCCACTCACGACCACGCGATCATTATCCAGCGTTCAAAGATCGCGCACTTTTCCCTCGGAGATACTTCTCTTCTTCAGTTTTCAATATCCAAATTTTAGAACAAGTACTGTGTCGTTAAATAGGATTGTATTATAAATTGTCATCCTTGGGTATTGAACTCTTTTCTTTATTTTTGAAAAGAAACTATTCAATTTTCTGGGAATTTGTACAATTTTTCGTATACAAATTGAATCAATAACTCATCGCCTTGAAATTTTATTAAATTCAAATAATAGCTTAACAAGAACCATCCTTGGGTATTGAACTCTTTTCTTTATTCTTGAAAAGAAACTATTCAATTTTCTGGGAATTTGTACAATTTTTCGTATACAAATTGAATCAACAACTCATCGCCTTGAAATTTTATTAAATTCAAATAATAGTTTAAAAAGAACCATCATTTTTCCTCAATCGTCAAAAGTTGATAAATGCTAGAATTGCATAAATCTTCAGGATAAAGATAATAAAGTAAAATGTGGAAGAAACATTGGTATTCGTGGCGCACGCCGCGGCTGTTTCAATCACGAAATCGGTTGTCCACGGTGGTGGATGTACGAACGGCATACTCAATGAGCGAGCATTCGAGGAAGGAAACGTCAATGAAGGAAGAATAGTGGCGAGAGAGGAGTGTACGATTGCGGGTCGAGCTTGGTCCGGGTGACCGAGAAAGGGGTGAATAAAGAGAGAAAGAAAGAAAGAAAGAGAGAGGGGTGGCTAGTGTGGAAGACGTACAAGTCCGAGAAAGGACAGTTTCTCTCGATAAGAAAAAGAAGTCTGATGTGTGTCGATGGTCGAGGATGGTATGGTTGGCGGGTGGGGGGGAGTGTACGACGAGGGTGGTGGTAACGACAGCGGTGCGAGAGGGTGGCAGCGTAGGAGGATTTGGAGCTCTGCCACGTCGGGAGCACCCTCTTGCTCGAGAGCTCTACTGCGATCACCGATACCACCACACTACAGAACGTCCGCGGTTGGTACTCGTAGGGGCTTGGAGGAGGCTAGAGTGAAAGAGGGAGAGAGACAGGCACAGCCCTTGAGGAGAAAACAGGTGGAACGACCGGAGCTGTGCTTGTTGGAAGAGCGTAAATATTGATAATCCCTTCGACTGTACCTAACTACCGTTTTCCATCCTTCCTGGATTAGATCACAGCCCCGGACGAAATTGTTGCGCCCCGTTCCCTGTTTTCCTTACTCCCCCGACGATATCTTTGGGGATGGGCCAGCCTGCTGTTGATGCGATTCTTTTTTCCGCCGGTTGTTGCCTCCGCATGCCGAGGGTGGAATTGGAATTATCGGAGGAAATTGTATTGTTTACGGTGAGGGTGGTTCGTTGCTTGGATATATATGGAACATAAGCCGAGTATGCAAATGTAATTGATATACTTTTATCGAGTATTTTTTTTTAGGTTTTAAAAAAGTATATTTTTCATAAATTCAATATTCTGAATGATATTTGTCATAGTTGAAAGAAAGTTCTCTTCTGTCACGGTATCGAAGAAGTAGTTTCTAATCGCTATCGCGTTACTTTAATCATCGAAATATACATCAAAGTTCAATATAACGCTTAATTACCGTCTCCTAGCCTCCGAACGCTCGACGTTGTTTAATCTTGAAATCGATTTAACCCTCTCGGTGCTCGACGGTGAAGCGATTAATCACCCTTCCGCCGCTGCAATACCGTCTCAGAAGTTAATCCTGCTGAAGTTATACGAGGGATTTCAGGATCATAATCTATACCATATGAAATTTCGCCAAAGGATTCGTAAAGTTTAACGACTTTATAAAATCCGAGTCGTCCTTTTGATAGAAGCTAACGTAACTCGAAGAAAATCATTCTTCCTTGTAATTAATTAATACTGCAGCGAAAATGAGCGTATATAGCGAATTACGCTTATAATTATAATTCTGTTTTAAATTTCTGGTCACCAACGATCTCTATCGGTATTCGACGCGTTAGAACGCAACGAACTCTCGGCGATAAGTAAACGCGTTAAACATTGTCAGAAAATAGCGCTCGATATCAGTCGGTCGGGTTGCAGAAACGTTGCTGGATTACGCGTATATGTGTAGGTACACGGAGCGAGCGGATCGCACGTTAATGCAAGAATGGATGAGCCGGTACAACTAATTTCAGCTTCGCCATTGTTCTCACGATGCCGCTGTCACTCTCGGCACAGTGGCTGGTGTACCTGTTAAGCCTGTCTACCTCCCCATACAGCTTTATATTTATTAACCGAATGTAGATTCCATTTCGGTTATTACACAGAGAGGCCGCTCCCACGTTTTGGAGATCCTATCGCTTTTACGCGTTTTTCATTTAACGAGCTTACTTTGTCCCGCGAGTTATTTCGATTCGCACCGCGGCAAATGTCATCATCATTTCGAGAATAATATTTTCCTAGAAAATTATTATTCAATTATACACGGTGTCACGGGTCGGATAGTACGACATTTCTTTCGTTTCAGCTTTCGTTTTAAAGAAAATTGAGTTGGTAAAGTCGTCGAGTGCATGTGCACTCCGAGGGTTGAAAACCCTTTGACCCTTTAAAATTTCAAAATGGGTGTGTCAGGAAGTTGAACATAATTATTAATAATATTGCGGAAGATTTAGAGGGTGGATTAACCCTTGAAGGGTGTTTCTAAAATTTTAGCGAAGAATGGCAAAGATGTAGATTAAAGTCAGAGCAATTAGAGAAGCAGCGTGGAGGATCGACGGTACGATTAGATCGTTTGACAAATGAATTTTTCGACGCAACGGACGCGCCGCGCCGCGTCGATTAAAGCGCGAGACGACTACTCGGCGTTGTCTTGAAGTCACGAGGGCTGGCGTCATTGTGATCATTGAAAGAGCGTGCGCCTACCGGTGTGCCGTACGTCTGGCCATGGAACCTAGCCTCCTGCACGTTTCCGCTCATTTACATGCAATCACGAACGTGCATCCAGACACCGTAAGCCCGTGCTGTGGAAGCTCGCAGCATCGTATTGTCGGCGTCGTGTGTCGTGTCAAAGATAGATGTCCCCCGCGTTTATGTACGTGGAAAGGATAGGGTGAGTTAGAAGTGGTTACCGTTCGAACCAGACGGTCCAACAGCCGGTTAAAGAGAAACGTAACGCCTGGTAACCAGAAGCAAATTTCACGTTTTTCCCCTGTGTCGCGGCCATTATACTCGGTTATCGAGCAATTTCGTGTGCCAAGGCATCCGCGTGCACGCCACAGCCACGGGCGAAACGTGTAATCGAGATACAGGATTATGGATCATTAATTAAATCCTTGTGCCCCGGCTCGTTCGTAGAATCAGCTGCAAGTGTATCGATTCGCGAGGCGGGGTATTCCGGGCGCATTAGGCTCTCGTCGATTAACATCGACCCGCGTGTCCGTTCGAGGTCACCGAGGAGAATTTGATTTTCACACTGTTCACCTTTACACTTGGACAATTCCCTGGAAACCCTTATCGCTTTGATTTTCAATATAACACCTAGGTATTTTGGTACACTTATCCTTTGTTTCAAATATAGATACTCTCTGATAGGAGTATTTCTAATTAGTTAAATTTAAATCATTTCTAATAACGCGAATGATGGATTCCTAGAGACATTTAAATGTTACTCACTCATATGGGTAGTCGTGATAAGTGATAACTTATATCGGGTATATTAGACGTTTCAACGTGCCCCCATAAGTGTTAAGGGGTTAACGCGCGATCGTGTATCTTCTCGATATCTCTCTCGTTGTGTACGATAAGTTTGTCCAGGAAGTTCAAAGAGACGTTCGGTCACACGCCGTAAGTCCGCGGACAGTTTCAGCGGCTATCGATTCAGACGTCTGCGGCTACATTTCCAAGCCGCAAATTATACGTCTCCAGTATCGGGGAGCAGACGAGACAGGGACTTTTCAATTACGCGCGAACCGTGAATTTTTCAACCAGGTACTCGTTAATCATCCGAGCGGAATTACATTCGAGTAGAATGAATTCGTTAATTCGAAGTCAGACAGGTGCTCGTTCTACTAACGCGAATCGGGTCCAAGTTCAAGGGAATCGAAATCGAACGTAAACTCGAATGGTAGAGAAGAAGTAAAGAAGAAAAGAAAAAAAAAAGAATAAAAAAGAAAAGAAAGAGAAGGGATGAAGGGAGGAAGCGATAGATACGAATGATATGTACTTACGCGGCTTGCGCGAACGGAGCACGATGAGTGGCGGGCAGCAAGGCGACCGTGGCCGCGAGGAGGGCGAAGCTCCAGGAGGCGGCGTGGAAGGACTTCATATTATCCGTGGTAAGGATCGGGCTGTCCAGGTTGGAGGTGAATCACAACGGCGCGTTCGCCGTTTCACGATGACGACGATGACGACGAGGACAACGAGAAGGACGTCGGCGAGGACGCCAGCGGGTGTCCTGAGGCGTTGTTACCTGGCGCGTTGACCCGGCGCCTCTCTGCGTGCCGTCCGCGTCTCACCCTCACCCCTTCTTCCACCTCGTCCTCCTCTTCCCTTCCTACCCTCCCTCCCACCCGCCCCGCCCTCCTACCTCCGTCTTGCTCTCGTCGTCTGCTTTTCGCTCTCCACTTTTCTCTTACTTCTTTCCCTTTTCCTTTTTCTTCTTCCTTTTACTCTTCGTACAGGCTGCTGCTCTAGCCTCGGCTACGATCTCGAATTCACCCCGATCCTGCCCCTTCACTGACACTCGCGTTCGACGTTTCCTCGTAACACTGTTTCCCTCTTTTCTCGATCCCTCTGCGAAATCGGTATCACCTCACACGATCTACCTCGACGTGCTGCGACACTCGGGTCCGGTCCTTTTCTACAGCTTCTTGTCACCACTCGCGAACGAGATCACAACGAGAGATTAATGATTCTTGCTAGAGAAGAATCTGGGCCACGTAAATTTCTATCGTTTCCTCACCGCGGTTCTTCGTCGGGCACCACTAGCGGGTACGGTGCAGTCGATAACGATCTACACGAGCGTCGTCGCGTCTAGATCAGCCCTCAAGTTCACGAGCACGGATCTAACTGTTCCACCAAGTAACGCGAGTATCCTATTTCCGAGCATCGATGCCGATGTCGCGATAGAGTCAGAGCTTCTTCTATCTCGTCCCCTCTTTATCCAGAGCTTTCACGCAGCCTTTTTCGATCTCACCTGGGGTGGAATAAAGGATCAGGAGGTTTCTGGGTCCAGGGAACGAACAAGGGGCTTGGCGGAGGAGGGAGAACTGTTGGCGAGATTCTTGTTGGTCGTGGATCCTTCTTGTTCGTTGTACTCTTTCTACAAGGTCGGAACCGCCTGATCGGCTAAGATGTCCTGCCGCAGGCTCCGCTTCCACAGGATCCTTCTTCCCTCGACGATGGACATTCTTCTCTCTTCTCCGCTCTCGGCACTCTCGCTCGCTCTCGCACTCTCTCTCGCTCTTCTCACGGGGACACTCGGTCAGCACCCGCGCTACACCGCTACGCGCTCGGGAGTGGCGGCTCTCGCGTCTAGCCCGGCCGTAGCAGCGCGCAAGCGCTCTCGTTTCCTCTCTTCCTGCTTGCTTCCCTGCCTATCTCTAACCCACCTGCCCGCTTGCCTGCCTCCCTGCCTGCCTGTATACCTCTTTCACCCCCTGATTAGGCCTTCCCTTACCTGGCTGCTTCGAAACCGCCAAGGATGCTTCCAACCGACCTCCACTACTTTTCCCGACTGCCTATTTCGCTGTAAACTCCTTTTCCGCGATTGCGTTTCCCTTCCCCTTGGAATTCCGTTCTTGTCTCTTTGATTCGGTGTTTCAAGGTTTCTTAATGAACAACAAGTTGGATATCTTTGTTTTTTTCTTTTTTTTTTTTTTTTTTTATTTTATTTTATTCGGAGATTGAATTTGCCTCGTTATATTCGTCGTCTGGTGTTTGATGTTGTTTATTTTTTAATTGATTTTTATAAATTGTTCGTGTGTTTTGTTCTTTAAGGGGGTTTGATTTTGTTTGAACGCTATTGTGAACTGTTTGCTTTTAAGATCCGCGTTGTAATCCTCTTTTTCTGATCAAGATTGGATCAATCGTTCGTTCAGTTATCCGCGGTTCGCTAGCTTCTTTTTCACTGGTCGACTGAACCTTTCGAATCTATTTACACTGAAACCACTGGAACGTCTTACCTGCACCGACGATCTTACTTCGCTGAGAGGGTTCCCTTTAGAATTCTAGCTGATCTTCTCAGAAATTTATTTTATCTCTGTGTAACTGAATTTCCTTTCTGTTTCTGAAGAGAAATTACGGAACAGGGAAATGGCAAACGTTTACCATCGCACGTAAAGTAACAATCAAATTTCAATTGATGAATATTTTATTATGCGAAGCTATTTATTTAAGAATAAACCGTTTTATTATTTACATTTCTGGTATTTTCGTTTTATTCTAAAGGATGCATTTGTGAATATAATGTCGTCATAATTCAATATATATATTGTGAATTTTAATGCAAATGTAGCCAATTAGTATGATAAAAAGATTTCAAATTAGTGTGTTCAATGGAGAGCGTCTTACGTTAAAGTATGTCTGACTAAACTCGACCTTTTCTACTGCGGCAGTGAACTACTCTATTAACACATTGAATGCTACAGTAGAAAAGGCCACGTATAGTCAGACATACCAAACCTGTAATTACTAAAAATGTGATCAGTTAATTTTCAAATATAAACTTTTAATCGGTACCTTACACTATTAATATAATATTAAAACTATTTAAAGCTTACCTTCGTTTTTTGTTTACTAATTACTCTATTAAACAAAATTTGAAAATGCTCAAATTTTATTAAAACATTAAATGAATTTTTCATATTTTCAATTTTTAATTAAATTCAATTTGCCTTTTCTTTATATTAACAAAACATCAATAATATATCCAGGATCTCTTTGTGTCATGGTAACTCAATTAAATTCAAGATGTCATTCACAAGTGACCATAGTGCCATCGTAATATAAACTTCTGCAACGAATCAAGACTTAAATTGACATTCGTATTTCTCCGTATTATTTACATTTCTCTCAAAGTATAGTAAAAGAATCTCTTCATTTCTCAACCACCTGCAGCTTGAACTTTGCCTGTTAACTTTGTTCTCGAGCTGTAAAGTTCATTCGGTTCGTCTCGGCGAGCAATGTTTGCGTCACAAAGACAAAGTGAACTACGACAAAAGGGAAAAGGACGCGTATAACGCGCCTACGCAAAGAATATCGTAGCTTCTTATTGCGTGCATCCAGCGGGGCAGGATAATTAAAATCGTCCCCGTCCGAGCGGACGAGCGTTATTCACGACTGCGTGATTCTGAATCGAGAGATCCGCTCGCGGTATAAACATTGGATGCGCGTTGCAAACGCCTGCATACGCCTGGCCAAACTAGCTCGGTATCCGCTCGAAACCTTTTCGATTCAATTGCACATCGAAGCATCCACCTTTGAGGACGTACGATTCAGTTTCACGAAATCTCTTTACGTTGCTTTTTTTTTTTACCCCTATCCTCGTATTTGCTTTGATACCGGGAATCGTATCTTTTTGCGGGATTTCTTTGTCGATACCTGTAACCTTGTTGCGATCGTTGAACGAGAAATTTCATTAATCGAAAGTGTCCTTTGATCGGGGGTAATTGAAAGTGAAGACGATCGATTCAGTTTGATCGTTGCGTCAACCAGTTTCCTTCTAAATTGTTGATTTTATTATTTCTCGATCAATTTTTTAGATTTTCTTGAAATATAACTCTATTTAATTCTATTTTCAAGAAATATTTTCATATATCACTGGTGTTTTGTAATTTTCTAAGTAGAACTATTAATACGTTGATCGTCACAGTAGTAATATCAACGCTTAATGCGACATACGAATATAAAAATTATTAAAGGTATTTAGAATCAATTTTGTAATTGAAATATGATTCTATTTTTAAAAAATATTTTCATCCACGTCTGGTATTCCGTAATTTTCGAAGTACATAGTACTATTAACACATTGATCGCCCCAGTAGTAATATCAACGTTTTGGACGACATACAATACAGAAATTATTAAAGGTATTGAAGATCAATTTTTAACTGAAAGCTTTTATTTATTTAATGTAATTTGATTAATATTTGCTATTTTCTTCTCTTTTTTCATAGTACAATTAAAAAATAAATAAAATTATTTCTAAATTTCCTCAAACCACGTAGAATATTTTAATTTTTCCTAAAGATAACTTTAAATATTCCACAATACATATGCTAAAAAGTCAAAATAATACAACAGAATACAGCAGATGGGATATGTTAAACAAGGAGTGCAGTATAAACAAACTGATTTTTGTCTAAAGCTTTCGGTTTTGGGTAAACACGGTGTTCGCATTCCCTTCCCGTTGCTCGCAGGGGAAAAGGATAAAATAAACGTGTAAGAATGAGAAGAGGAGTATACGACGAAGAGTGAAGTTTTATTAGCTTCTTTTTACCGCGGTGTTCGCCAGTGTTGGAAACGGGATGCGACGCATAACGCTACCTTAAGATCCCGTCGCAATATTTGGATTCCTGGTGGAACGCGTGTCTTGTAACGGAGTCTGAATTTTAGAGTAGACTCGGTTTTCCACGCAGCGGATGGTATATATATAATTTGAAAAATGCTAAAGTAAGCCGAAAGGAACACTATGAAACGTAAGGTTGTCTTGGCAAGAGGTACATAAAAGTACGCGACCCCTTAACTTTAACAAGTTAAGCTCAATGTTTAATAAAAAGTCAACTCGTTATGTTCATTAAGAAAATGTCTCATGGACGGAACAATTTGGAAGCTGGATTTTTATTCAACATCTCTGCTCTTTTCTCTCGACTAAATTACAGTTTGACAATATTGCAACAACTCTCAGCTTACAATTATTTATGAAAGAGGTGTCGTTGTTTATTTAAATCTTTGCAAAATTGTGTGACTTTTAGTTAACGTGATAAATTTTTATCATGAATTCTTCATCGTACAATTCATATATATTATTCTCTATGTTTTAATAATGTCGACTCAGGTAATCTTGTTTTCGTAAACATAAAAGATTTCACTTATAGGGGGTTAAAAAGTTGCTACCTCGTTAGACCGCTCGTGAAAACCTCGTTTTTGATGATCTTATTTCGCTCCTTCTTTCTTCTCTACCATCTACATCTCTATATATTTTTTACATATCTCTGAATAAAACCGAGATTCAAGACTAAAAACGCCTAAAAACGCCTTTATTCGTTGCAGTATTTCCACTGCTTTTAGGATTTCTGATGCAGTGAAAACGTGTGCAGATGGTACGTGTGAAACGTAAATAGAAGTAAATTAATGTATTCCAGACTTTTATCGTTACTTGTCACTCATTATTTTTTCTCTATCAGTAATATTCAGGTGAAAATATGAAAAATTTATCTTTTAAATTACACACTCATTTCAAAGTATCATTTAATGTTAATAAAGAAAACTATAATTATAGCAATTTCAAAGATAGTTGTTATCGAATAAAATCAATCACCAAAT